TATTTATAAACATTGAAAAAAAACACTTTTTTCATAAAAGTAGTGCTCGTTTGTGATATAATATGTGCATTCATCGCTTATAGAAATAAATTAATATAAAATCATCAAAGAAACATTATCCAATTGAGCGAATAGAAAAAAAATTTTTTTTGTATTTGTTATAAACAATTTAGAGACTAAAAACTTGATTTTTTGAAATTAACTATATTTTATAGTTTAAAAGTTATATTTATGGGACAAAAGAATATTTTATGATACCTGTGATTAAGATATTAAAAAAAAATTATTTGTTAATTAATTTAATAATTAATTAAACATTTTTAATAAACAAATAAATAACAGAAATGTATCTTATAGGAAATTTTTTATTTATCATGCAGTTGACTAGTAAAACCTTTTATTCTTTCAACATATTTCATTATAATGTTTAAACAATAAAATAACACCGTTGAATTATTTAAACAATTTTAATTAACAAATACCTAATATTGTTAATTTTTACAAGGAAGTAATCTTTTTTTTACACAAAATCATTTTAATATAACCAACTTACATTTAAAAGTAGTAAAATAAAAATATAGCAATTCAATAATCGATTATTTAAACAATCTTAATTATCAAATGCTAAAAAAATGTTAATTTCAATATTTCAACTTTTTAAGAAAAGTACGTTTTTTATAATTGTAAGAAAATGAAATGGCCTTAAATAAAATAGATATGACCTTAAATTATAAGGCCATTTCATTTTCAATATTAGATATTTGTTAATTAAAATTGTTTAAATAATTCAACGGTGTTATTTTATTGTTTAAACATTATAATGAAATATGTTGAAAGAATAAAAGGTTTTACTAGTCAACTGCATGATAAATAAAAAATTTCCTGTAAGATACATTTCTGTTATTTATTTGTTTATTAAAAATGTTTAATTAATTATTAAATTAATTAACAAATAATTTTTTTTCAATATCTTAATCACAGGTATCATAAAATATTCTTTTGTCCCATAAATATAACTTTTAAACTATAAAATATAGTTAATTTCAAAAAATCAAGTTTTTAGTCTCTAAATTGTTTATAACAAATACAAAATGTTACAAACCAAAAATAATTATTATTATTTGGGCTTTTGAGATGGCCCTTTCTATCTCTGAATTGGGAGGCACTAACCTGCCAGGATTAAAAAAAACCCCGTTTAAGTATGTGGGTTTGTTGTTCCACTTTTAAAAGTTACCATTCAATCGCCTGTTATTTCCCTTTCATATCTTCCTTGGTACGGAAATAATGTTTAATAAGTAGAAGTGTTAATTCAGTTTATATGTATTTATTAAAGTAGAGAAAAGATACAGTATTGTTATGAAAAGAGAAACAATTGAAACTAATATCGGAACGATACTATTTACTTACGGCTACCGTCGTCGGTTGATTACATTTTGTCGACGTCGGGCGATACAAAATTTCTCGCTGTACACAGTAATAAAATTTGTAGAATTTTCTTAATGAAAATTACAAAATTTCATTTTGTGGGGCCACTGTCTCAGGACGGCGCAGGCGCTACACGCGCGGGCTGGCCGGTCACGAACAAAACTAAGAGCAGTAAGGAATTTTACTGCACCCAAATTTTACCCAACGACAGCTCTCACAGGACTCCGTCGGCTCGAAGGATTCTATTTTATTTTGACGTCCGCCTCTCGTGGTGCCAACACTACGCGTGTCTATCACTAGGGTCCGACGCGCAGACGGGCAAGTGTTAATTAATTTAGATCGAGACCAGGTAATTATCAGTGAAGATGTTACCCGTGAAGATCACAAATTATACTGCGCCTGCCGAGGTTGCGCGACGGGCCTCTAGCCCTCGTCGTCGACGTTAAGGTGGAGAAACGTAAAAATTTTTAGAGTAGGAGTAAGGAGTAGAGAAGACTCGTGGGCCCATTGGTCAACACTTTTTGCTGATTTTGCAGGTTCCCAGGCAGCTCCGTGAGAACGGAATTGCCTGTTAATATGATATTTTCCGAGAAAATAATTTTTAAAATAACTGAGAATTAAATAACAATTGTATTTGTTTAATTATTAATACAACTGTTATTTACCCCAGTCATGTAAAACAAATATAATTTATTTATTCCAATTATATTTTTTCCTACGTATTATGGATCACAACCATGTACATGCATGTATTAATCTATATGGTTACATATATACATAAATATACATCCGCGATCCATAGTCTTCCGGCATTCCGTTGCAACTAATGTTGCAACAGAATGTCTATCTAATTTTCAATTAATTCCAATTGATATTTCGTTTTTAGAAATATCGTATAAATTCCAGTAGCAACCTGTGCTCATATGTGTTGTGGTGAACACATGTGCTGTCTAAACGCACGTGCGTTTGTTTTGATGTTGTGATTCACAACTCGTGGGCCCGGAGAGGTGGGGTGGGAAGCAGCGGTCGGTGGCAAGTATAGCGTCTGTGTTGACACTCACGGACGCGGACTACATATTTGTGTTACTATTCTAACCGAGGGAGCCATATGTGTTGGTGCCCGTAACCAGAGCGCCCACGCACATGTCGCCGTAGCCGTCCAGATACGCGCGATTATTAAATAATAATTTTCTTTCTATGATTCTTTTTACAATTTCTTCCTTTTCTTTTTGCATCATAACAGGTTACAAATAATTCCAATTTTGTTATATTTTACTATACTTCCTGGAATATAGCCACAATGTAATTTTTACTTTTAGTTTCGTAACATTGTTGCAATATTCCGAAATAAAATTTTTTTTTATACTTGAAGTATTAAAAAAAGTTAAACTATATTTTAATTTTAATTTCTCAAGAAGAAATGAGGCTCGAGTCGGGGCATTTAATATCTGCCGACTTGCCTTATCGGGGTATCAGGTGTCTCTCAGCAAGGCATTGCTACGTTGTAGCAATCCTTACTGTTAGCTATTTTCATTCAAAATTCATTATACAGCGTTGCCGTGTATAGTCGGAATAAATATTAAATTTTATGTGTAACAATCCACCGCGGAATTTCCCGCTTCTAGTCCCAAGAAGCCACATGCTCAAGACTCAAAGCCTTATTCCTTCTCTAAATGTTTAGTGTCGTCTCTTTTATGCATTTTACCAAAATATTACTAGTACTGAAGGTAATCCATTACTGTTGTTATTATTTCTCTTTTCTTTTTTAACAATGTTTACGAAACGGACTTATGACTCTAATATCTTTATTAGCTAGGTTATAAGATACAATACTTTAAGTATTGCGATATTGTTTAAATAATAATCTGAATAATAATAAGACTTTATGACTTAAGTTACAAAATTATACCGAATACGTGTTCTGAATGAAAATTTCAACAAAAAATTTTTTTTTTAACCTTTTGTGAATTTTATCTATTTATAGTGAAATACCCTTTATACGAATCATAACACCAAATAATATTCAAACTACGTCTTATGTTTAAGTATAAGTTCTCATGACTTTTCACAAAACTCCTTTTAAGTTATTAGAATTGTTTAGATTCAGAAAAAACAAAAGAAACTGCAACTTAAATCAATTATTCATTTGTCAATAGCGAATCTGTTTAACAAAACATTTCATTGCTTATTTCTTTTGTTTTATCTTGGATTCGTTTCCTTTTCATCAGAATTTAACAAGTTATTTTATATTTGTTGATAATTGGATTCGTTGAGAATCCACATAATTTTATTAAATCAATTAATTATTCTAAAACTCAATAGATTATTCTCAATTGCATATCTTATCAAATAATTATATTTAAATAATCGAATTTGTAAAAGTTCTATTACTAGTGGTACAACTACTGAATTTGATATAATTGATATAGGAATTACTGTCCTTTCTTCGGAAAACAATTAGATTCCTTAGGTTAGTTTCCTGTAGCGATTGGCATTGCCAAGATTACAAGTTCTTAAGGTTTACATGCATTTAGTTCGAACATTTGATCTAAGTACATCAAGAATTTTCAATTAGGAGAAACCTAGGTTTATCAAATTTTGTTTTACGGATAATAATTTACACTAAAATTCATTTGATTCAAACAAAAATTTTTTTTTTCAAACTCAAAATATCTTTGCTATACAGTCAAACATATCTAGGCTTAATTCAAGCATATCTTCTGGTTCAGCTTGAGAGATTATATATTGAAATCAGACATAAATTGTGATTGATTTTAAATTATCTGTAGTCAACTTTTAAGTTGATTCAAACATAAAATTTGTTAAACGTAATTTTGTTTAAACCGTAAATAGAAAATATGTTTGAATTAAATATAATTATTAAGACAAATAATACTTTTGAATCAATGCAGTAGATATTTTGTGTATATTGAGATTAAACTTATAAACTAATTTCAATTAAACAAAATCGTCTAACATTAATTTTTGTGTTTCATTTATGTATAATGTTTTCTCAGTGTATGCTAATCGAATTATATAATGGAAAAATTTTTTTTTTGTTATTTATTTATTTATATTTTTGTTAATTTCATATTGTTGCTGATCTATAAATTCCTTCCTCCCTTTTTTTTCGAGCAAGAATTCAAGTTGTTCATTACAAAATTTACCGAGCCAGGGTGTCTACTGGTCCTTGAAATTCTGGAATTTCTGGAAATGTCCTGAACTTTCCATATTTTGCTTTTTAATATTCAATAATTTTAAAATTTTACTCAAATTTAAATACTTTTAACTCAAATTCCAATTTCTTTAAATATTTTAATTTAGTCCCTTTAAAATTCAATTATTTCCAAACTCACGCTATAATTGCTTTTAATCTTCAATTAGAACTTAACATTTAGGTGAATTTTATAATTTTATAATTGAATTGTAGGTAGAGTTTTATTATTTATAAATATAATTTAGTGTTTTCCTGTACATTCTAAGTTAAAAGAAAGAATTTAAGTAGACACCTTGTAACGACTTATATTTGGTTACAATTATTATATGTAAGAAAAAATTTTTTTTTGAGAAAATTGTTTCATTGTGAATGAAGTTTAGAAGTTTGAAATGAGGGGCCCTGAAGTTGGTGATCGTTGGATTTTTACAGTGTATAGTGCCAGTCTTTGTTTCATTCTCAGCCTCCTTAGTATGTGTCGATATTAGTTATCGTAATGTCGGTCCGGTGTCAATGATTAGTCACGTCGCGCCAGTCGTAAAAGTAGTTCGGTGGTTGTAAGGTGAATATTAGTGTGTGGTGCAAAGGAAAGTTAGAAAATTTTTCTTATTTTTATAAAAATGAGTGGTGAAACATCAATGATTACCGGGGCTGCACGGCTAGTGGAAGAGATAAGGAGGAGGATGGATAAATTTTCGGAAGAGAAAAGACTCCGGAAATTGCTGGAGGAAGAACGGAAACAATCCGTCGTTGAGCTTCTTCAAGGTGCTAAATTAGAGTCTCTTTTTAAAGAATCCTTCGAATTGCACAGAAAATCCAGGGATTCCAATGGGTAAGTTGGAATAATCAATTCCTTTTATCATTGTTTTTCTTTAATTAAAATTTGAAAGATGATCGATTATTTTGAAGAGTTTTTCCCCTTTTTTTTCAATCTACTTCTACGAGAATTTCATCATTTCTGAAATAGTTGAATTGGAATGTAAAGTTTTAATATTTATTATAATTATAATAATCATATATTCTGACATAGAGAATTCAAGGAATTAACACGAATTCTAAAACAGAACCTTGAAATTTCTTTTTTTAACTTCTGACAAAATTTCTTTAAACAACTTAAATCTTTTAACATTAAATTAAGAATTTTAATGAACTTAGAATTTTAAAAGTTTTTAATAACATAAAATCTTCTAAAATTAGTTAACTTTGTCAACATATAATTTTGAACTTAGTTAATTATCAAAATAGTGGATTTGTAGAAAAAATTTTTTTTAGTAAAAAAAAGACACAAAAAAAAGATGAAATTTTTTTTTTAAAAAAGTTTCAATTGATTCAGAAATGCAGGTATTTTCACAAATAACAAAACTTTCACAGAAATTCAATTACTCGATAAAATTACAAAATTCTGTCAAAAAAAATATCAATTATTTAAAATAATTATATAGAATTCGGCGCAAGAATTCAATTATTATTTTTAAAAAAATTAACAATGTTCTGTTTCAAGATTTCAATTATTCTTAGAAATAGTAAAATTTATTCTTCATCGAAACTCAACTATTTCAAAAAAAAATTTTAATAACATTTTGGAAAAAATTTTCCTTTTTTTTTTAGTTTTATTGAAACTACTTTATTTCATACTCAAAAGTAATAAGAATTTAAGTTGCGCAAAATCAATTTGAAAATATTAAGGTCTTTCTTCTTTGAATCTTTCTCGGGCCAATATGTAAAATTTAAACGTTTATAAAAGCAATAATATTCCTCTTTTATAAATATTAAAAATTGAACATCAGACTATTAACTTTATTTTAATGTGCATTCACATTTTTTAAAATATTTTAATGTATATAAATATCATTAATCATCGTGAAGTAACCTTAACTTAAACTAAAAACAAATTTAAACTTTTTTATCACATATAAAACGGAGGTCCAAAAAGAATTTTTTAAAAATGCACATAATGATAGAAGAAAAAAAAACATTGCACTTTCTTTCCGACATTATTATTTTTTTTTTAAATTTTCTAAAAGTAAAAAAAAACATAAAATGTAGTTTTCTTATAAATAATAAATTTGTATGAGAATGGTTAGTAATACCTATTATTAGAGAGTAGATTTTATAAAATTAATTGAAATATAGAAAATGTCACCTTCAGAAGAATCAGCCATAATTAGACATTGAAGTCATGTCTAAATTAAATAATTTTCATCTTTAGACCTTGTTCAAAATCTTAAACAAAAAGCAATTAATAACAAAATTATCGACAATCGTAATACTAATAAAGATATAAAATCCTTTTTTTTTAGAACAATCTTAATAACATTTTTCACAGTTTTAGTCAATAATTTTAAAAATTAAATTAATTTAAAGAAACGATAACGTTTTGAATGGAATTTTTTTTTTAATATCTTTCGTTAACTCAAGAAAATTCCAGAAAGTCGTTCAAATTCCATGCTATTTCCAGGATTTCCAGGTTTTGTGGCAACCATGAAATAATAATTGAATTTCAAATAAATTTTTTTTTTTTTTTCAATAAAAACTAGACAGGAGCTCAATCATTCACAAATTTCTATAGCTTTTTCTTTTAACCACTATTATTCATGAAAGCAACCGAGTGTAGTGCAAAAGATTTTATTAAGTATGTTTTTTCTTTACTATTATATATATATTTTTTTTTTTAACTAATAAAGGTTTCCTTTTATTATATATTAATCTTCGTACTAGGAAACATGAGTACATCTGAATATGACTCCTTATAAAATTTAATTACTTATTAATTATTAATTAAAATACTTGAAATTCAATTTGTTTAAAAAAATTTTGAAATTCTTTAATAAATTTTTTTTTTAATTTCAATTGTATTTCAAGGATTTTTCTATTAATTCGATAATCTTGAATTTACTTATTTATATGCCATCGGATTAATTATTTTGACTACTTCAGGTTTGGAGAGCAGTATAAATATTTATAAAATTGAAATAAAGAAAAAAAAAATTTTTTTTCTTTATATATTACCCATAAGAAAATAATTTACATTAATTCTGTTTATTAATTTTGAATGTCTTAATAAAACTCAAGGTGGTTTTTTTTTAATAACAGTATTGAGTCAATAGTGTTTCACACGTCACTTCAATCTGAAGATAATAAAAATTTTATTAGCACAATTAAAATTTTTTGAAATATTAATTTTATTTAACAAAATAAGTCTTAAACTCTTCTTCTTGGAAGAATAAACTTTCAAAATCATAAAAAAAAAACAAAAAAACAATAATTAATGTTGTGAATTTGCTTTCCTGTTTACACAAAATGGGGAAAATAAATTGCCGATAATCGTTTACGTAAAATTGAAACTATTAAAATTTTTTGGTTTGCGGTTGCAATTAAATTCTTTTTTTGAAAAAAATTTTTTTTTAATTGACGAAAAAAATATTTTTTTTTCTTATCTCCTTTAGAAAATAAAATCAAATAATATTAAAACCTTGGAAGAGAAAATCATCGCTCTTGTTTCATTTTGAAAATTGTAATAATTTAAAGTGGTTTTCATAATTAAACTATAACGAATTGTAGGTATTATAGTCATTATAATTTTTTAATTTTTTTTAGCATTCTCGTCACCTTTGGCAGTTGGGCCCCTGCCCCCGTTCGCATAGATGACCGATTATTTTGGGGTTACGACAGAGATCTCGCCCGTGGGCGAGAGAAAATTCACCCTGCCCAATCCTGGTTCCAGGAATACTTCTGGGATGAGGAAGACCAGGCCTACATTAGACGAGGTTACTGGGCTCCGGTAAGGAAACAGAGTTCTTTATTGGAAGAAGACAAATAACAGATAATAAAGTACAAAAATTTTTTTTTTTAGCAAGGTTTCCGCAATCCGGTATTGGTGAACAACTACTTACCCGGATTAAAAATGGTGGTGGGGGGATTCCCAGCAAGGGGAGTTCCAGAAATTTGGTATGTAAGCTTGGGTAGTGATTTGTTTTGTCCTTAAATTCTAATGGCTTCCCTATTTACATATGTTTTTTTTTAGCTTGTTGAAGGACCTACCCAAGATTCCTCGGAATACAGGAGTTCAACCCTTACGAAAAGGGCTGAGGATTAGCTTCCTTCAGTGCCATGATTGGCTAGGAAAAGATCAGCCCCGTATTAGAGGCTTTTGGCAATTGGTAAGCAAAGTTACCCCATGTGGGTTGTGTTCATTTTAGACTCAAAATAAATAATTTGTATATAAGGGCTAATAACAAATGGGCAAAGCAACTATCGGGAGCAAAAGAGATTAAGTATGAAACAAATTGTCGGAGTAAAACAGAATAGGATTACATTACTCACAAATGAGTTAAAATATTTTGCATATTTGTTTTATTAAGAAATATTTATGTTAACTTATTTGTCCAATTGATTTTCATTGGGTACATTTAAAAAGAATATCTTTTTTTTTTATTATTGTTAGCAAAATTATCGTAAAATAGTAGTTTTATTTATATTGTATATCAGGAATTTTAGTCCAAGTATACCTTCATTTAAATTTGAATAAGTTATAAAGTAGGGAATTAAAAAATTTTTTTTTGTGAATAAAATGGAATAGAAGGACATACCGTTTTTCCCTAATAAATAGTTATATTCTGAATACTCTATAATATTTGAAAATTATCAGACAATCATGTTGTATATTTTAAACAGTTAAAAGTTAATTTTATTTTACAAAACGAAATGTTCCTCTGTGAATTTTCACTTATCATTGTCTTTTTTTTAGAGATTCGACATAGACAATGATACCGCATGGTATGATTTCCCGAAGCCTTGTCCCTTACTGTTAAAGAAAATACAAAGTAAGGAGAGAAGAGGGGTGGTACAGAATTGGGAGGAAGAACCAGAGTCTAGCCTTGAGGAAGAATCAGAGGAAAGTTTTGAAGAAGAGGAGGAGACTTGGGAAGAGGAGTCAGGGTCGAATTGGGAGGAAGAACCGGATGAAAGTGGGAACGAGGGAAGCTTGGAAAGGCTAAGTGTCGTAGGTTCGGATGGTGTTAGTCTATAGTTTATAAAGATATAACGGAGGGCATCCGTGCAACAATCTTAACAATTTCCTCCCTTTTATAACTAGTTATATAAAAAAATTTCTCTCTTTTTTTTTTACTTCCCTTTCTTTAATAATAAACGATAATCATTCAATTTTGTCGCTGTTCGTTATTCGTTGGCTCACAATTTCTCAAAATTGTTTGAATTCTTGCTCTATATGACCCTTGTTCCTTTTTAATAACTAATAACTTCCTTTTAGTTTAATAATTATTATAGTTACATAGATTAATCAATTAAATCCCTTATTTATTTATTCCTTTACTTTAAAATATATTTTTTTTTATATATATATTTTTTTCGTTATTAATTAATTGATTGAAGAAATCTTTACCTTGATTAAATACTAGACTTTTATAAGAATTAATATACTAGGATAATATAGTATTAAATTATGCGTTAATACTTAATTATTGTGGTTGGAGTCAACTACTGCTGTTCATCTTGAGAGATGATCTTGGTGTTGTGATTAGCGACGTCATCGAAATGTCTTCGAGGTTGGGCGATTGTTTCTACGGGGTACTGGATAGTTTTCCTGAATTCCGAAAGCCAGAGTCTCTAATCCTTCAGTTAGTCATCTGGATCTTCGTTGGGTCGAATCTTCGGTCGTAGCAGACTTTTCTTCTTTTTTTTGAATAGTGATATCCGAGAATGCAACTGCCTTCTTGTATTTCTCCGCTGTAGGTGATTGGGAGCTAGTACTTGGTTTTTCATGTATTTTTTCGTATAATGCTGAGTCAGGCTTCTGGGTTGTTACAGTTTCCTTTTCTGGTGTTTGGACTATGAATGTTTTAGTTCTGGAAGTTTTACATGACATTCCTATAACTTTGTTGATTCCTTTTGTCAATGGAGATCGACAGAAGTAGACTACAAGTAATACACCGATTATCACTAATCCTCCGTAGGAACCATAAAACAGCAAATTTTGAGTTGTTCCCGTATGTTGCCGTAGAACAAGATCTTGGAGTTGTTGTTCCAATTCATCCAAAGTTTTAGAGTTTGCTTCGAATGTGGAGAATCTGGTTCCTGTATCCGGATCAGATGTTAATGGTGAGTCAAATTTTTTTATAAGGTGGTTGTATTTTGACAAAATGGATGATAACATCGTTAGGTTCAGGTGCAGCTCGGATTCAAATATAAACTCAGAACTTCCAGCTGGAATGGTGGTGGCTGGGATGATTACGTCCTTGGTTTTGAGGAAACATCCTGGGCCCAGCTTAAGGATTCCAGCTTCACTTAACACTATCTTGATGGGGCTCATTGAATGGCAGGCTATTGACGCAGTATCTGGAGCAGCAACGGAGAAAATCCATCCTCCGACGGTGGTCAATGGCTTTCAGTAAGAATGAGGTTGGCTGGTTATCCGGATGTCGCACAACTTTAGAACCTCTATACTTGGTTTAACTAGAAGCAGAGCTTCGCATGAAGGTCTTTCTCGCAGATCGTATATAGGCGTTCCTGATAGGCAAGCATGGTAGGCTGTTGTGGATTTGCAAGAATTCCACTCCTGTTCTTTTAATAAAAGGTACGTTCTCTGATCCTCGTCAATGATGAGGTAATCGTGTTTTGACTTGACGTAAGCTAGCCTGATGTTATTATCAAATCCTTCTTGAATAGTTGGGATTGAGTGGACCTTGTAAGCCTGATAATTGTATTTTTCCAGGAGTGGGATGTCAAGTAGGACCTTTAATTGATGATCCTCGCAGACGATCGTGGTAGAAGATATGCGCATTAGTTCGTCAATGCTTATCCTGGGTCCAGCTAATGGAAAGTTGACATCCTTCAGATTATCTTGGATTTCTCGGAGAATGGGTTCCAGCTGCTCTGAAGTAATAAGACCTGGATGCAGTTGATTTTTTCTAGCTTCATGGACTGCTTCCAGCATGGTTGTAGTGGCTAAAATGCTATGATCAAGCCCCAGTCTTAAAGCTCGAGCAACAGCATAGGTTAAATTCATTCGTTCCATCTCTTCCTTAGACTTAAGGATGTTTTTGACAGCTAAGATTTGGAGTTGATCCTGCAAGTTCTTTAGAAGCGAAGAATGATGCTGAACTTGAGAGTGTAGTAAATCGAGTTGGGACCTTACGACGTGGGTCTGCTTTCCAACAAGGTGCGTCAAGTTTTGATGTGCCTTATTATCAATTTTATGGGTGAGGTCACTTTAGTATTTTCTAATTCTTGAATTTGGTTCCGAAATTGTTTTTTTAATTCCGAGGCCATTTCCCATCTGTCTTCCCACTGATAGCTCGAAACTAATTCTTCACACCAAACTTCTTTAGGGTTGCATTGGGCCTTCAGCTTTTCCAGTCTGGATTTGAGATCGTCGAAAAATCGGCTCTGTCTTCCGATGTCCAAGAACACAGCAATTCTCCAATTGCTAACGGACCGCTTGACGACGTCCACGTACTCAAAATAGATCCCGCTACTCATCTTAAACGGGATTATCTGATAACTGCTGTTGTTGGAGATGGGATCAGGTGGGGCTGGTTCGTCCTGCGCTGCTAAGGCCAAGAGGCTGAGGATTGAGCAGAAAAATAACTTAGTGTGCGACATCATTCGGTTGCTTGTGCGTGTTTCTGAAAAGGATAATTCTGTTAATGATTTTTAATCAAGAGGGGATTAAATGTGGGCTACCATAATCTTGTCCCGGTGCTTAGTTATTCGTTCGGCATTTTCGTTTTCTAGGATTACATTGTTGTTTTCGGTAAACCCTACAATAGTGAAAGGGCCGTTGGCTCGTTTATCAAATTTATTCGTGCGTACTTCTTTATAAACGTAAACCTGATCACCGATTTTAGCCTTTAGAGGGTTGGACTTCTTATCATAAATTTGCTTCGATCTTTCCTTTGCTCGAATCAGGCGCTTGGCTGCAAGATTCTGCAGTTCATTCATTCGAGTAATAAGATCTTTTAAGTATGAACCATAAGTTTCCACTTCTGGACCTTGGGGCAGCGAGCTCGGGGCTCTTGCCAAATGACCAAACACTAGTTCATATGGTGTGAAATTCGTGGCCTCATGAACGGACGTATTATAATTAAACATAGCAAACGGGAGCAGACGATCCCAGTCGTCAAAATCCCTTGCATAGTGCTTAATGTAATCTGTCAATTCGATGTGACTTCTCTCTAGTGCTCCGTTCGTCTGGGGTCGGTATCCAGAAGTGGTGAGCTGCTTAACTCCAAAAATCTTTTCTAATTTGCGCATCAATGAGCTCACAAAGCTGGCTCCTCGGTCAGTTAGCACACATCGGGGTGCTCCGAAAACAGAGAATAGATTTGTGGCCACGGCATGGGCAATTGTTTTAGTCTCAATATTGGGGATTGGAATCGCAATACAGTATTTCGAAAAATTGTCCTGCATTGTAAGAATATGACGGTTTCCGTTTGGAGTTGTTCGTAGCTTTCCGACCGTATCCAACGATACCTTATCGAAGGGCATCGCGGGAGTATCGGTAATTAGCATAGGTTCCCTAGTTCGAGCCCTACATAGTTTATTTTCGAAACAACTTCGATATCCGCGAATAAATTGCGTAACTTCTTGTCGCATTTGTGGCCAGTAATAGCGTTCTCTAATTCGTCGATAGGTCTTGGACACGCCCTTATGACCACCGACTAAACTTGTATGATATTCAGCAATGATTTTATTACGCAATTCGGGGGGGGGGGTACCTCTATTTTTCCGTGACAAAGCGTGACGGTAACGTCGCCACCGCGGAAAATACCTGTGACAAGCTCTGTCATTTTTCCTTGAGGAAGTGCACCTAATAGATCACCGCTATTTGCCATTCGGCAAGAGTTTTGTTGGTCAGATTCTAATACCCTTTTTAAATTTATTAGTCCCTTTTCTACATCTTTCCAACAGACCTCGTCAAAATGACGCCTCTTGACAATGATGGAATAAGTACTATACTTCCCGTTTTAGGTGACGAAAATTTGCCCTTTAACGGGTTTACTGTCCCTAATGTCCGGGGGGTCAATATACTCGGTGGCAATTAATAGTTTACAAATAGAATCTGTTGGTTCACAATCTTCTGAAATGAAATGAGCGTAGTTGTTGCGTTGATATGTTAAAGGTTCGGTCCACTGATTCACAACACAAGTAGGGTGTCTTTCCTTAGAATCGTTGAATTTCGAAGGTGCACAGTCACTTTTGCTTTCGGTAATCTTATCACTTTCACTTTCCGGGGAGGAAGGAGGGTCAAAATGAGTTTTGTTCATATTCAGAATAAGTCTGTTTCCTGATAAAGAGGTTGACTGATTCTTTTTGCTTTTTTCTTGGATTCGCCGAGGTTGTATAATTGTTTCTTTTCTCGAATGCGCAGGGGTTTCTAGATTGTTCTCCTTGTTAACTTCGCTGGATTTTAAACGGGAGAATGGAGTAGAATGTGCAAACGGAGTTGATGGAGTTCGTACTTCGTGTGCTATTGATTCTTCTTCACTCGAATCCTCGAATATCTCTGGGATTTCTTTGAATTGCACAACGCTTCTTCTTTTGGTTGTTGTAGATCGACTAGTTAACGGAGTGTCTTTTGAGAATCCTGTGGCTTCGCTCAGGGCTTGGGGCTCAACGTCGATCTCTGTTTTTTTGTTGGTTTGTTTTTTGATACGGCTTTGGTTAAAGTCATCTAAGAATTTCTTTACTCGCTTAGGAAGGCCGTCCTCGTAGTCTGTGGTTGGGTCAAGACTTTTCAGATAGTCCAAATGTTCCTTGTCGTCTTCACCATCCGAAACATACATTCTTCTAGGTGTATGTTCTAATCCTTCATAGTCCCAAAACAAAGTGTTGTTAGCAGGACTAGAGGGGTTTAAATTCGTTCCAGCGAGTGATTCATTAAATTTGTTGATAGATTCGTTTACACCTTGGATTAGTTGTTTCTTTTCTTCGGAATCCTTCCTTGGATCAGGTTCGTCAGAATCACTAGTGTCTTCGTTGCTGTTGTTGACTCGGCATGGACCTTTGACCAATATTTGATCCTCGGGCAATCCTTCGGATTCGGAACTCGAAGAAGAGTGAGATTCAGGTTCCATTAGGGCACCCTCTTTGGCTAGTTGATCTGCGTTCTCATTCCCGATGACACCTTCATGTCCAGGAACATGTTCCCAAACTACGTCGAGAGGTTTTAATGCTTTTATTAACTTTTCATAT